CTGCCCTTTACCAGTCGTGGAAGGGACAGTGCCCTGCGCCTCATCCTGCCACTTTCCCTCAGGGCACAAGGAGCTTCAGAGGGGACCAGCCCCAGCGTGACAGCAGAAACAGCAGTGGCGGGGACTGCGGGACTCGGTTGCAAAAAGTACATTGGTGGTGATAAAAAAAAAAATTAAACTGTGCAGCACATAGCTACACATCTGGTACTCTTAACAGCAGCTTTCCAACCTGGCTTAAGGTTTAGCAAGTTTGCTAGCTGCGGTTAGAAAAACATCTCGCTCCACACTACTGTTTGAGTTTCGTGCGCTTGGAAACCAGCGCGTCGCACGCGACCCGCCGCACATCCTAGCGGACACGCTGACCTCATCTGCCCAGTTTCATTTCCACTGATGCCTTATTTTGTCCACTGAGCCATTTCCTTCTCCAAAAATCAAACTCAGGCCCGCGATCCAGCAGCAGAGAAGTCAATATTTTAACAGTGATTTCAAACAGGAGCAGAGCCAAACCTGAATCTCTGGATTATCCCTTGCAAAATCTTGGCTTCAGTGTTACCAAAAGAAAAGATCAAATGAGTTGTGTCAGATGGACTGTTATTGCTCTACCTATGTTTATTAACACTAGGCATATAGAGGAAAAATTAGGAAGTGCTAGAAAAATTTATAGCGATGTTAACCACAATGGCAAACTAAAAGTATGCACCGAGCCTGTCCCTTAGCCAGGGAACATTTCTAGGCTGTTTCCTTTACAGCTAGTCACTTGATAGGAAATGCTTTCTAGACAGAAAAACATTTTCTTTTCCAGAAGACTCTGTAAAATCCCCACACAGAGCACTGTGTGCATCCTGATGAGAATTAATTACTTGTTTCCTGCAGTAGTTTGACATACAGCTAATCCCCACACGTTGTCTGAACAACTTACTTCCTCCAGTGAGCAAGGAACAGCCAATCTAGTTGGTCAACAGGAGACAAAACAGTTTGATTCAAAGAAGAAAAGGCAGAGGGCAGAGCACTGGCCACTCATATCTGCTAACAGTAAGAAGCTGCTGAACATCAGAAGATGCAGGAAGACCTACTTTGTGCATCTTTTTTTTTTAATGCAAAGATATTACAGAATACAATGTTATCAAATTCAATGTAATTGAGTTGTTCTAATATATGAAAATGTCATAAGCCCTGAGCTATTAATTCTTAAGAACTGTGGGCTGTAGCTTATCATTATCATCTGAAAGCAAAGGATTGCTGTTACAGTCAATTCCATTTCTCTCCAGTGACTAAATTATTTATTAATGTGAAAGGCTGACATTTTCCAGGTAAGGTGATAAAATCCTGGGGCTTCTGGGCATCCAAATGCTGTATTTGTGAATGCTCCGTTGCCATTTAAGAAAACAAAAGGAAGCTGTTTTTGACCTAGTGATTTTTAGTCTGAGTACTGATGATCAATCTAGTATTAATCCTAGCACTTATCTGGAGATACACACTAGGAACAAATGTTTACAGTAGTAACCACATGGTTTTTGAAATGACTTATTAGATGAAACACCCACATTAGGAACTGAAACCAGGTGAAAGCTTCCTGCCAGCACCGCGGGTCAGCGGGTCCCTGGGCAAGGGCTGAGCTGTTGCAGGTCCCGTAACATGGCCCAGAGCCACAGGCAGCACTCAAAGACCAGGGAAGGGGCAAAGGGCCATGGGAATTGTCCCGTTGGACCTGCCCCAGTGACCCTGTGCCATGTCCAAAGCAGAAGGACATACCCCTGCAGCAATTAGTATTAGCCAGAAATGGAGAGAAGTGCCAGAGATGCATCATTACAATCTTTATATTGACTCACCAGCTTGGAAAATACATGCTGCAAAATCAAAACTAGCTAGATAAGCTAAAATGCAAACATTCCCTGGGAGTTCAGTGAAACCATGTTATAGGAATGATATTGCATGAAGCCAGTTGGTTCCAATGTTACTAAGAAGCAGGCAGGCTCCACGAGCTTTCTGTTACTTGTAAATACATTTCAAAATACACTCATTAGCTAGAAAAACAATTTTCCTTTCAATTTCTGGTGGTGCAGAGCAGAAGGGTATTAAATATTTTCTAAAGCAAACCGTGAATCTGTACAAAGGACCCAGAAAACATGCCAAATAATCCACTGTGATTCACAGGGAATCAGAGCACACTGTTTGCAACACAAACTCACGTTGTTGCAACACAGTTCCCGCATCAGATCTGTCAAGGTAGGCAAGCAAAGGAAGCAGTGAATAACACAGAAACCTCAATATCTCCTTTCAAGTTTCTAAATTCTCTTCCAAAGCCTTGTTCAAAGGGTGGAGCAGTACAAACAACTGTATATATCCGATTTTTTTTTTTTTTTTAAACAAAGTGCAAGATGATAGCTTGGATTTTGTGCATTGTCAAGCCAATTGCCAATTCTGCAGGAGACCTCCTGGGTCTCCAGTGTCTGCACCCACTTCCCCCTTACCTTGCAGGTGCAACCAGTAAGGATTAGAAAGGGCAACAACTACTATAATAACTGAGGATGGAAAACCACCTGGGCAAAGCCAGGCAGATCTCCCTGAAGTCCTTCACCTGCTCTCACAGGGGTAACACCAGCTGAAAAGCATAAGGGTTTCCATGCACAATGTCACCATGAGACTGACCACGCTGACCTCTGCTCAGGAGGCAAAATGCTTATGCAGGGGAGGTGACGACATGCTTGGGAGTCATCCTGCATACCCGTGGGGGAACGCAAGGGCCTGCTGCACTGCCTCGGGTTGCTCCTGTTCCAGTACAGTCCCTGTGTCCTTGTAGCCTGTCCCTCCGGTCCAATCCAGGCTGGCCCTGCCAAGCTGGCCTTTACCTGCTCCTTTAACCAGAGAGCCTAGTAAAAGGATTCGTATCTTTAACAAAACTATACTGTTGACACCTACTAACTAGGTTGCTACAAGGAACAGTTTTGGGAAGCGTATTTCACAACTGTGGTCAGCGGCAATGATTAACTTGGTCACCCAGCTCTTCAAACTCACATCCTTGTACTGTCCATACGGAAAGTGCACCAAGTCACATCAGCACCATAAGGACCAGGCTATTTTAAAGCAGGTGTGTCTCAGTCTGGTTTTATTCAGGTGTATATTGAGGTGTAAAATTTTGTCAGGAGATCAGACTTAAAAGCCTCCCAGAAAAAGCTTCTTGTCAAAAACTCACTGGATAGATGTAGGGGAATAGGGAGGAAAAGGAGACCGCTTTCTTATGGTCCCACGTATGGATTTGGGAGTGAGTAGATGTTTGGAACAATGTTTTTTTTGTTTTCCCTCCCCAATGCGAGGTAACTTGTTCTCCAAATTTAATTCTGTAATCAAAGGCTGCTGGGCAGGAAACACTTTCTTTTCTCCTTGAGAAATTCTGAAAAATAACAGTAATAAAAATACAAGTCAACACCTTTTTGTTTCTTTGAAAGGCTTAAGAAAAAATCGTCTCTTCCAAGAGAACAGAAAAGATACCAGAACCACACTGCATTTACAAACATGGGACAGTTTTCAACTGCAATCTGAAAGTCCCTCTTAAAGATACGATTAGTCTCAAAGGCCTCGGGCAACCCCGCAAGGTGCCTCCGCACACTCCTAAATCTGGGCCACGGTCTGGGGCAGCCGGACACAGTCCTGGGAGCCCCTCATGGCCACAAATGTTTTGCAAATGGGTTCCCCCCACCCCAGGACAAGAGGGCTCTGAGCTCGTGGTGCCACAAAGATGTTCCTCTGCAAGACACTTCACAGCAGTTATCCCAACCACATTACGGCACAGCAAAGAACGACTCAACATACGATTCCGAAAAAAGAGTAAAAAAGAAAAATCAGGTAAACCATTTCAGCCTTCCTATATGGCCTTAAGCTCCACATAAAAACTTAACACCTGAAGAGGCTCTGCCCCAGAGAAGGTCATGCCAGACCCACATCTCGTCAGAGCCCCAAAGGACCAAATCCTGCCCCCAGCCGTGCAGGCTGACGGCCGCCTGCTTTCTGCACGCCTAGAGGCTCTCAAATACACGTACGTCTGTTCCCAAAGCAAAAGAAATTCAAAGAAACTCACTCTATTGACATTAGCATGGCATTTAGATTTACATCAAAATTACCAAGATCTGAATCTGGACCAAAAAGGAGCTACCTATAGACAGACAGAGGCAAAGTTTATCCTCAAGTGAACAAAATGACATCTGTGTAGACATTAATGACTTCTGAAATTCTCCAGCTTGATACAATATTCACAATTTAAATGCCAAACCACAGTCACTTCGTTTTTCTTGGAAAGCTTCACATACACGTAAGAAAACCCTCAAACCATACCAGAAACTAAAGGTCAGGCTGTTACTTCCTGAAGCAGCACAGTAAACTTCAGAACAAACACATTAGGGACCTTTCCCTGATTAATGCTGCCCACTGCACGTGCCTGTTTTTCTAATACACCATAAGCTGCCAAGAATCACTTCTGATGTAAAGAAGTAAAAATCCTAAATTGAAAAGATAACATAAATACCATCCAAAAATAATTTAAAATACTTACGTGTTTCTCAAAACTAAGTTAACCTGGGGTGTTTCAATGCAAAGTTTCCCCAGTCGAGGCTCTTGGGCTGTGACTGCTCTCCAGAGCCTTCACAAACCTCTCTGTCCCTGACCTGGCCCATCTGCCCCTCTCACCAGAGGGGACACCTAGCATCACCTCCACAAAGCCCTTCACATTAGTTCAAAAACTGCTGAAATTCAGCATTTCTGATAGGTGTCCCCTGATGCCGTCACCTGCAGAGAGCTCTGGGTTCTCCTCAATTCCACCCACAGCTCCACTCTGCCGGGACCCCATCCCCAGACTCAGGAAACCGGCACAAGCTTCTCCTACCGTGGGGCTGAAATCCTCGCACTGCAATGGCCCTGCCCAGGCACAGATTTCACTGTAACTCCTTTCAGCTGCTGCTTGCTTCTCACAGTCTCTTCAGGCACTGCTCTCATTAGGACAGATTAGTTTCCACCTGCAGCCTGAAACATCGTCAGCACTTCGAACACAGGAAAGACGCGCTTCAGAAAAGGAACAATTAAACAGTGACTAATTAAGACTTCAGTGAATATTTTTCAGTGTCCTGAAGCACCAGGGCTTTTCATCACCCCTGATTACGAAAGGCAGTTGTCTCATTCGTTTAGTGCCTGATCCAAGGTTCACTGCGATCAACAGAAAGGCGGCCACTTTGCTTCTGCAGACAGGGCTTCTGCAAGCCCAAGATTTCTTAACCGCCCCCTTCCCACCAGCCATCTACAAGGGAACGTTGCAGATCTCCATCCACCCCAGCACTTAAGGAAAACAAAATCCCCAATCCCTTGTGTTTGGATAACTACTTGGAAGAGCTGTCCTGTCATCACACCAGAAACTGAGGAAAAGCGTAGGTGAGGTGCTGGGAGTTGTGTGAGAACTCAAAGCCAGAAGAAAGACAAGGACTGCACCCTGGAACGCTCTCACTTGTGAGACTAGGAAACAGTGGGACCTACTGCAGCTCCTAAGACCTCTCCAAATGTGCAACATTTCCATTTACAACAATTCCATATTTTGAGGTAGAAATTTAAAATATTGACCTTTGAAAATGCTATACATCCTAACACCAAGCTTTGGGTGAATATGCTCACATGAATATGCTCCCCATCATTCCTTGCACTGTTCAAAACTACACTGCTATCTCAAATGGCAAGATAAAAATTAATGGATTCCGGATTCAAAAACATAGTCCTATGCACTGAGAAAAGACTACACTGCTAAGTCTGTGGTTTTGAGTGATATAACGTACATTTATCAAAGTAAACTGTCCAGTTTTGTATAAAACAACATCAATTCAGCAGAACTCTGCACCTGATGTTCCAGCAGGAAGCAGGCAACAGAGGGCTCCAGCTCCCACATAATCCAAACCATATTATACTTCAAATCAATTTGTCTGGGGCTGTCAGCAGGTCTAGATGATGCGCTCCAGCAGTCAGTCTTACCTGGATTCACTTAACATGAGCATTCCCTCTCTGCAAAGAAGCAGCAGGTACTACTCTTCTGCTGCAGCAAAGACTCCCCAGGACCTTTCTTTATAAGGCCCTATTTAGTTCTCTGAAGAAAACACCAGGAACAAATTAAAACTGGAGGGTAACAATGTGAGCTGGGTATGTTACTTCCATTTGACTCACTGAGTGGTGCATCTCCCCCAGTGACTAAAAAAGAACCTGCAAAACTGGATCTGCAAAACCCACCTACATTGGACCTTTCCATAGGGCCAACACCCGCAAGCCAGGCTCTGATTTTACAATGAGTTTTGCACCTGTGGAAGCCCAGCTTTGGTTTTAGTGGAACTGGGGACTTTAGGAAGCAAGTAGTTTGGTGGTATTCGTTGCTTCAGAATATATTTTTAAGTTACCCACTTCCTATGTGATCCTACGTTTTCTTTTTCCTCTTCTCATCTCCAGGTGCTTTCCTCCAGCAATTTTCCAGAGAACATTTAGTTTTGGTGGGAGTAAGCACTTTCCGTGCTCACTGGACCTATGTTCCCACCAGACACTG